GAAACTTTTTTCACAAAGGCTCTGATCCATGCAAAGATATTGCCTATCAAAATGAATTCCTTGTATGAATCCACTGACTCAACAAAACTATCCTAAAGGATTATTTTAACCAAATACATTGTTTCAAAGACAGCAGATGCCACTTAATATAACTCCAAGTTATTAATATAAAGGTTTTATTATAATACATTATTAGAATATCAATATAGTACATTAAAAGTTGATTTCTAGGCACTCTCCTAATAACATTTTAAAATCATACCTTTTCACTGCAAGGCATCTAGGAATTTATTTGCTGCTCTTACTGCTTAATTTTCAAGTTCAAATTCTGAAAAATAGAAGAAATATTTAAATCAAAAAATATGTAAAAATCCTGAAAAATATAAACCCTAACACGTCATTGTGTGATTAACAGTATTGTGTTTCTCTAATTATTGTGGTGGTTTTTAAAAAGTATTTATTTTCTAAAACATCTTCATAGATCAGCTTGATTCTACAGACATGGATGTACTTTGGCTTCCCCAAACCCAAACTTCAGCTGCAACTATGCATAAGCTAACTTTTGAAATATATGTTTGAAATAACTGATTCTTCAGTGGAAAATTAATGAATCATATTTGGACCCTTGAACAATTTTCTATTCTTACACTTTGTGTGACTGGTAGAATGCTGTCACATTTGCGTTGCAAATTCAATGAGAGTAATTTGCTTTTGGATGATGACACAAAAAGGCTCAAGAGAGGATCCAAACAAGACTGGGGCCCATTGTACAATGCAGTGCACCAACACATAGTAAGAAATATTCTGTTCCACAGACTTTGCGATGCAGTGCAAAATATAAGACACTGAGCTGGGTGGGAGGCAAAGTAGCAGAAGGGTCAATATTCGGTGAAGGATTGAATCCCTCACTGAGAAAATCCTGTTATATCCAGTCTCATACAGACACTAAACTTGCATTTCTCAAGGTGATGCTGCTTCCTCAAAACCTCTGACATTTCTTGGTGCTCAGACAAGCATGGACCTTTTACTCAACAGGTTCAAGACCAAAATATCCCAGACTGCTCTTTGTCTCAAATATGCAGTATAATAGCACAAAGTGATCTTAAAGAGGCAGCCAAAAATTAAACACAAGAAAGCACAGTAGTACAACAAAACCCCATGCAGCATATAAATTCACTTTTAAAAAGTGTTGTGTACTGTAAAAGGATTTCAACAATTCCTGTCACATTCCTACAGTGGTTTGTATTTGTATGGAAACAACCCCTACACATAGATAAGTAGAGTTTAATCTGGTTTCAGTTTTCAGTTGCATCACAAAAATTTTTTACTGGAGCTACACACATCACTTGGAAGCAGTAGGAATGACAGGGAAAGCCTGCTCCTGCTCTGCCTGTGCACCAGTCTCACAGCACACACCATGCAGCTGTGTGTGAGACAGAAGGGGGGATGCTGCCAGGACTCTGAGTTCCTATTATTCCATCTTCTGGTTGCAGGAAACAGAGTGGCAGTGTCAGGCACCATAACCAAGTGTTGTGTCCTTGGGGGTCATCGTGGAGAAACTGCGTCTGGGAGCAGGGAGTGTAAAGGTGTACCTGCATCTTTCTGCAGGAGGGCAGAATTTGAGGGGTGAGAGCATCAGCCAGCACAACCCTCTTGGGACTGGAGGGTGACACAGAGCCACTGTGCCAGCACTGGTTATCCTGCGTGGAGGTGGGCACAGACCTCCTGCAGACCTGCCTTCAATCTACAGCAATCTCTCGGTTCTTGACTCCTGTTGATTTCCAGAGGAAGAATTGCCTGAGGTGTGCAGTAACTAAATCCTGTATTTCCAGCTCTTACTGTAACAGTTGCCCATAAACTGTCTTACCAAGTGAATGACTTTTGACCTGTGTGGAGCAGTGTTGTGGGAGGAGGATGAGCTAAACCCAGTGTTTCAGGCTACAGGACAGGTGTGAGGAACTCTTACCTGTCTCAGCTGTAGCAAAAGCACAGTGTGCGTTACTCAAGAGGATTTGCAGGGGATTCGCAACCATTCACAATGATACGGCATCCCAATGACAATTGCTTTCCTAGGAAAACATGAGCAGATTCTACAGTAAGCCAATTTTCAAACAGTGGAACATGTAGAAGCCAGAGGCAGCATCATGCAATCAGAAGGTTCTCCCTCCTCTGCCACTTTAAGAATTAAAATACTCATTATTTATTTGGAAATTAAACTTACAACACAGGCAGTATCACCTCTCATGTCCCCAATCTCACCTTCACACACAGCTTCAGAAAAAGGACAATTACAGGGGAATATTGTTAAAAAACGACCCTATGTCATTAATGGCTGTAGAATTTCTCCTCCCAGTGAGTCCAAATGTCAGGATTTAAACCAAATACAGGTTTAACAAACACAAGTTATGTAACTACAGTGGGTTTCGGGTTTCTTTTTGGTTTGGTGGTTGTTTAAGGGTTGTTGCTGATTATTTTTAAAGTTTTTTTGGATGGGGGAATGGGAGTTATATCAAGATTAAGTTTTTTTTGCTCCTCCCAAACAAAACTTTCAAAGACATAATTATGTTTCTACTTAGGATCACATTGGTTTGTACAACATCTTCACTAAAAGCACAAATGGACATGAAAGTAATAGTCAACTTAGGGATATCTCTTATAATAGAGCAGTTTAGTCACTGAATTAAATCATGGAGCTAACTGATGAAATGGCACATCAATTTAAACCATTTGTCAAACCCTAGAGCTATTTTTATTTTTTTCCACATTTTCACCAAGTTCATATTCTTCTAGTATTTATTAGGTATTCAGTAGAGTTTGAAATTACAGAGAAAAGATGATGACTTACAGCATTATTTCTGGTTTGGTAACATCTTTACTGCCACTATCAGATTACTGCATAATTTGGTTTTGAACACATTCTCTGTCATTTCTTATATAAGATTGTCTCTCATTCAGTCTGACTTTGCATGCAGTTAAGTGACAAAAAAAAGTAAACAAACAAACAAAAAAGGTTAAAAAAAAGGTGTAAGCAAGGAGAATAGACAAGGAAGAAAATAAGTAAGCAAAACTCTTTCCCCCCCTTCTTGAAAACAAATGCTGCCCCATGATTTACAGCATCCATAAATGATCCTATTGTAATTATTTACATCTCACCCCTGACCATTTAAGTCATCTATAACCAAGGTCACTTTTAACATGTAGAAAAACCATCTAAGGCTTTTAGTCATCAGCAGTTTATTTGTCCCTTAAAAGGAATTTATGTTGCACACAGGGAAAAGTTTGTGTTGGTTTTCTTTTACTACTTCAAGCTGCTTCTTGTTTTACTTAATAAAGCAGCACTTTGGAAGGCTGGAAAGGAAAGTGAAACTGGAACTTTGGTCTCACCCTAATAGCACACTGCACGTTATGCAGGAAGAAAACCACTTAAGAAGTGAGATACCAGGTAAAGAGACCTGGGCATCTGCCCTCCAGAAAAAAAGGTCTCTTGGGTGAGCAGCCTCTCCCCATGGGCAGTACATCAGCCTGGGGCAGAAATGAACCAGTAAACCAGCAACTCACTGAGAAAACACTGAACTGCCAGTGCCAGGAACTCTTGTTCTCTCCAAGCAAGCCCCTGGAGTGGGTGGCATGGAAGCATTTCCCACCCTGAGAACAGGAGGGTGAGCAATGGCTCCATGGCAGGAGGTAACAGCAAAAGCATATAGTCCGTGTACCTACTGGGCAGCTGTCAACACCAGCCAGGCATCAGTCAGTAAATTAGAGTGATTCAGTTTCTGTGGGGTTTACAGTGGTTTTCTGAAAGGCACATGGGTGCTTTATATTCAGTATCAGTGCATAAACCTTTCAGACATTGTACATCTTTGAAATATATGAAGTGTACAGTTCTTTTTTGAGACAAAGAATGCAAGTACCATTACAGAAAGCAAGCTCTTTCCTGTTTGGAATTTTTTAAAAACCTAACTCTGTTAACTATTTTTAAAATGTACTGACTCATTTTTAGAAAGAGGGAGTAAATTACTGTGATTGAGCTGCAGAATTTCCAGAATGCTGGCTGTGAGAGTACACCACACTCACACTGCCCTCTCCCCCAGTTCACCAAGGTATTTAAATCTTTAGGTACATATGGTAAGTAGGCTAATCTAAGACACAATTGTAAGGAGGGAAGGGACAAACGGTGTAACAACTCTGAAAAAAAAAGATAAAACAGAAACCAACACTCTACCAAACATTTAGTACAACCAGGTTCAGCCACTAAGTTTGGCAAGTAAAGGCAAAAAAAATGACTGTTCAGAACAGGTAATGGTGAGGGCAGCTCTGCTCCAGCTTCACAGCAAGCACAGGTCAAGAGATGACACACTGCACGAGCACAGTCATAGTGATAAACCAAGAAAACATGGACACAGTGAAACCTGACACAGGTAAGTCAACAGCTCTTCTGTACCACCAAGAGATCTGAAGGTCTGGTGTAGACACAAAACTGCTGTTTTCATCCGGATGTTCAACACCACGCACTGCATAAACAGTGCTTTGTGCAGCACAATCTCAAAATCTCTTGGATTGGAATTACTCAGTTCTGCATTTTACTTTCAGTTTCATCTTCTTTCAGAGGCAGTGGAGACCATTCAACATCTTCACACCAGGACAGACAGGCACCTTCTGTACTTCTGACAAAAATGCCATCTTATCCACTTCAGGTCTGGCAGAAGCAAGGAATGAAGTACTGCAAAAATAACTCTACTACATACAACAGCTGGAACTGTAAAGGATGTGACAGAGGTATTTCTTCTTCAGTTGTATTTTTGCAACATTTGTAACAGGACCTGCCCAGCCTCAAGTCCAAGTTATTAAATTCTGCATTCAAAAAAGGCAATTATTTAAATGCAGCTAAGATGATGCACAGAAGGTTTTAAAACCTTTAACTATAACTACCTTTACCTAGTAAACCTGGTGACTGAAGAAAGAGCTTCTTCCCCTTGGAAAAACTCCAAAGTACTCTTGACTTGATAAAGCAAATCTAGACCTTTTTTATTTTTATTTTTTAAAACAATTTGCCAAAACTGGAATGAGAGATAAATAGAAGGCACAACAATTTTGCTTTTTTTTATACAAATACAAACTAAACATGAAAAAAACTCCCTATTTCAATAAAAAATTTCACAAGTTCAGGAAAAGTGTTTGAAGAGTCAAGTTCTAGACATTTAAAAGCTATCCCACAATCCAAAATTTCAAAGTGGTAAAACAGTAGTTCGAATTCCTTTCTGTGATCATGTATCAAAAGAAAAAGAGATTCTACAGATACCCATTATTCCACTCTTACAGCGCCACAAAGAGAAAGGTGAAAGTCAATTTTTCAAGTGGCAATATCTCCACACCAGAGGATGTTCATATGACCCTCAAAGAAACATCAATAGTTTTGTTTTTCTGCCCTTGAAATACTTGCCAAGTACTATGTTTTCCTACAGGCTCTTGAACGCATGCACGTGAAATATCATTCCACTGACTGAAATGCACCCAAATTCAGTAGAAAGGGGAGAGAAAAAAAAAAAAAAAAAGAAAAAAAAGTAGAGACATTCCTTTAGGAAAAACCACTGGTACCAAAAAAATTCAGTCCGTAAGTTTGAGGTTAACAAGAAAATTCAGTTCTTCTCTTTTTAAAATCCACTTTTCCTAAAACGTTGTTCCACAAAGCTGGAATCTGGGACAAGGACTAGAAAAAAAATAAATCACAGAACCATAACACAAACAAAAAGGGGCCAAAATAGTATCAAACGTAGCAGTCTATAACAGGCTAGGGCCACATTCCAAGATACCCAAGGCTGAAATTCACAAATCTGCAGGAAAAAGGGTTTGCGCCTCCGTGTCAACATCCGCGATGATGCCTTCACTGGCGTTGCCCGATCCCTCTTCCAGCTCCAAATCCTGGCTTCTGGGACATTCCTCCACGTGGAGGCCCTCGAATCCCACCTCCCAGCCCCCCACGAGTGCCTCCAGGTCCACGAGGTCTGTTATCTCTGCGGTCACCCTCCCTGGCAGCTCGTGTCTTCTTCTCCTCCACGTTCAGGCGCACCTCTCCCCTGAACATGATGGGCTGCAATGAAAGCAGAGAAGGGACTTTCAGTAATGACTCACCAGTAGCTCTTCAAGGTCAAGCAGATTCCTGCAACCCTGTCTCATATCCTCCTCTTCATGAAAGATTGAAACGTTTTAGGATGGCTTACTAAACAATGGCAATAGTCAAACTATGCATCCAGTCTTGTGGCTTTACTGGAGAAGGTATAAAGATGCAAAGGAGTGACACTTGAAAAGCCATCTCATGCTTAACACTGACCATTCTGACACATTTCAGAAAAGGAACTGCACTATTAACAGCAACCTCCTTTCATTAATATGTGGTAATTCAGTCTACCACCATACAGAGTCCCAGATGATTTTTCCTATGGCATGAACAATGTCAGATCCTTTCTGCCACCTTGCTGCACAGGCCAGTCAAGTCTTTCACTTAGGTCACGCTCATTTTCTTAGAGCTGCAGTGACAAGTGGCTTCTTGATTGAGAAACCTCAGTGAAGCAAAACCAGAAGAGGAGCAGGACTGCAACATCCCACAAATCCCATTTGCAACCCGACAAAAAGCTGAAGTCTGCAAGAATCCACCAACTACAGGACTAAGGACTCGCTTGTTTTAAATTATTCAACAAAAGAACATGAAAAATACGACCCAGCCTTGGTACAGGCACAATGCTTTCTCATCCAATGGAAAGACAAGCCATTCACTGAAAAAGACAAGCTGAACTGACTGAAGGATGGAGCACACTGTGCAGCACAGCTGATGGCTTGAGGAGGGCAAAGACCAGCACACCATGTTACACTGTAAACACCCACATTTCACATCAGGCAGCAGACATCAAGTTTAGTTTTCCTGGCTGTCTACCAAAGCCTTATCCTGAAAAAAAGCCCTAGTTTTAGGACATGTTTGCTGAAAGCACTAAGACTGTTTGCAAGGCGATTCCCACAGCAGATACTACAAAGAGAATTCAGTGCTGTTCCAAGCAGGGTAGGAGGTGTGTTAAACTGCAGTGTACTTGCACAGTCCAGATCTTCACCAAGGACATCCTTTCTTCTCTGCTTCCTCACTGCATAGAAGCATAGCCAGTAAATTTCTGTGCTTAAGGTGAAAGCCAACTTGGGTGCAGATTTTTAAGCCTCGAGATTTGATCTGAGTTTGGGATGTTTCATGCAGGCAGACACCTCTCATTGTGGGATGCCAGCAGCGTTTGTGGCAGTGCTGATGAGTCAGTGTACCTGAAGCTCAGCAGCCCCAGGACTCTTGCAGGGGTAGATCAAGATCAAGATGCTCATAGAGGTGCTTCCTTAAGTGTGTCCAGACTCACTGCCTACCATGCAGTCATGGGTGCACACTGTGCATTAGCAATCACTGCTGACAGGCTGAGCAGGTACCTCCTGCCTTTGTTAGCACAATTCTTTTCAGCCTGCACACCAGTACAGCTTCTTCCTTTCAACCTCTTCGACAAACAAGATTCTACTTGTCCACAGAATCAAGACTCTCTTCTCTACCTTCCTGAAAGCTATTTATCTGCTTCCTGTGTTCAGCAACTTCCCCTTAGAAAAAGGCTCTGTAATGAATAAATTCATGTTCACCTAAGCTGTTACAAGCTACTTCAGTGACAAAAGACTCCATCTGTACAAATGCTGCACAAGCCTTGGTAACAGGATAGAAAGACATCACACCTACTTTAATATGCTCAAGAAAGGCCAACGGGACCAAGTACAATCTTTTCCTGTTAATCTGAAAAACAGTCTGTTGTCAACAGACCAAAAAGCACTGACTAGAAGTTTATTTACCCTGTTGCTAAGGATCTTCTGAACTGGTTCAGGATCATCAAACACCACAAACCCAAAATTGGGGAGCTTTCCACCACTGTTGATGCGGAGTTCAACAACATTGCCATAGCCTGCAAGAGAAAAGCCAAGTTCTTGGGTCATACATTAGAATGCTCTGTTGACCACGCCTGTGGCTGCAACCCCAACCCCTCAGGGCAGCAAAGCAACCAGCTTACTTTGGAAAAAGTCTTTAAGTTCAGATTTATCCACATCATGGGGAAGGTTCCCAACAAAAAGCTGGTGACTGTCTGGGTATCTCACAATCCGTCTGGTTTCCACATCGCCTTGTTCACCCTCGCGAACTTGAACAGAAAAGTGAAACTTATTTAAGAAAAGCAAGCCATGGTCAGAATTAGCACCATATACAAGAATTCGAATTCACACTCCTCATCCATTCATATATATAAAAAGGTAAGCATTCTACACTAGCAAGTTTTTAACTGTTTGCTTTCTATCACCAGAATGAGGCCAACACTTGAGTAGAAATCATCTGCCTAGTGACAAAAATAATGAGGTTTTAAAAGCTTTAATTGTCACACTGCTTCCCCAAAACCCTTTAAACAGCAGAAAACAGCTTATTCTTTGTAGCTTCTCTTACTTGGCCTAGGACCCCTCTGTGGTGGGATGCTTGTTCGCTGCTCCCTCACTCGCTGATCCCTCTGAGGTCTCTGAGGTGGGGTCTGAGACTCGGGCTTTGCCTCAGGGCGGGGCTGGATCAATTCAAAAAGCAGTGAACAGTTGAGTGTCAGACAGACGTATCAATAGGGTTCAGCTGTTAAGAGCTCACTGTCAAGTTGTTGATAAAATACAGGAAAAAATAATAGTTCTTTACACCTGTGATTAAAATGCACGTTAGCTCACACTGGCTTATATGCTAAAAGCAGGCAGGACTCACACGAGAAACAATTACTCCTCATTCCAAAAGGCAGAGAATAACATCTTTATGAAGTCTATCAGGAATCACAGAATTTTAAAGTCTCTGGAGTCTGAGAAATCAGATCCATAAGCAAGTAGATTTTACTGTATTTCTCCCCACCTCAGTTTACTGTCAGCCAGTTCAGCACAAACTTCTCCAGGTGCTGGATTCTTACCTGTGAGACCGGTACTTTCACAACATGAGGTGGTATTCCTGATACTGGAACAGCCCCGCTGGGAGGAAGGTTCTTGCTGGTTACTGATGCCCAGGAAAATGTCTTAAAGAAGAAGATAATACAACAACTACATCTCCTTTTGAAATATAATCCTGATAGTACAGCTAACAGACAAAGGATAACCGTAACAGATTTTAACCTATCCTTGAACTTCAGGATCCAGCCACTAGTTTGCCTGCAATTTCCTTCGAATCATTTAAATTCAAAAGACTTTGTGTAATGACAACAGAGTCACACTTCCACCCTATTTCTAAATTCTACATAGAGTTGAAATAGGACACAGCAGTGACCCAAGATCAAGCAGAACATCGAGGTTAACCAAAGTATTGGTTTCATGAGTCCACTTCTGCCTCCCTTAACACTGAGGAGTGACAAAAATCCCCAGGTAGAAATAAAGTCACATTTCACCCATTTTCCTGACTCAGCATGTTAGTTGCATTCTTTCAGAATTTCAGCAGCAATGTTTACAAACAAAGAATCTGAGCCTCTCCCTGCTGCCACACAGTTCTCATACCTACCAAATACACAAAGCCTGACCTTACCTCCTGGTATTTTAACCAAGTATTACTAATTAGAATTTCAACCTGTTATCATATACAAAACTAATAGGAAGGAGGCAATTGGTCACAAGCAGAGTAATTGCGGGGGGGGATGGAATTAGAGCATTCAAACACTTAATTTCAGATACTTCTCTTGACAGAGAGAGGATGCTCTGAAAAAAGACAGGAGAGCCAAACATACTGATGAAGCCACCACACAAAAATGACTCATCCATTGTCGTTACCCTTGAGTCCTCTTGCACTGCAGGAGCTGGATCAGCAGGAGCTGGAGAAGGACTCTTTTCCACCGTCTCTTCTGGAGCTGACTCCTCTAATACTGGCTCAGACTTTTCTTCCTGCGCCTCTGGTTCAGGTTCCTGTTCAGGTTCTGCCTCTGGCTCAGGCTCTGCCTCTGCAGTTGTTTCTTCCAGGTGTTCCTCAATGTCATTGCTATTACACAGCAGCACAAAAAAGAAGAAAGAGGTGGCATTGTATTTATTCTATTACTGGTGAAAAAGTATCCTACTTGTCCAATAGAGAAGTCAGGCACATGACATCTGAGATGAAGAACAAGGCTAATATAAGTAAGGCCACATTGCACAGGGATGCAAATTTGCATTGTTACAATGAATAGTGAAAAAAACCCGTCTCCATGTTCAGCCTAACAGCATATTGGTTTCAGCTGATCAATAAACAGAAATCTTTTATGACTGTAAGAGGAAAACCATGAATAGCAATAAATTCATTTGACCTGTTGTACAAGCAGCCCGTCTTGCACAACATCTGACTTCACCTATAAATATACTATTACCTGACAGCCTGCTCATAGTAAGCACCAGTATCATCAGGAACAGCCTCAGGTGTCTGCTGTCTTTCCTCAGGTTCCTCCCCTTCCTCCTCTGATTCTAAATAAGGTCAAAAAGGCAAAAAATACATCACACATATCTTCAGTATGAGGTTCAAAGACAAGGCACCTACCACAACATGCAGGTGAAGTGTCTGCCAAAGAACACTATCAAGATGTGACACGGAACAGACATTTCCTTGTATTTCCACTATCACTTTGGTTACTCAGTTTTGACCAAGTTTAAACAACATGTTCCAAATACTTCAGAGAACCAGATTTATAGCCTACAAATCTGACTGCAACTGCCAAAACAAGTCTTACAATCCTTTTAATAGAAACAGAACATGCCAGAAAAATAATCATCTGCATGTCACAACTCCCTGCTGGAGTGTAAAGAAACTACAGGGAAGAAAAAAAAAACAACCTACAAGCACATAAAAGTTAACACTGATCTGCCTTCTCCAGCAAGAAGATTCCTTTGGTCAGGATACAGAATGCTGATACAGATCCAGAAACAAACTAACCAACAGAACCATCCAAAAATTTCTGCTACTTACCCTCTGGAGGCTCGGTGTCAGAGTCCCCAAAAACCTCATCCTGGTAGCGGAAGATATCATTGTGGACATAGAACTTGTTTGCAACAGAACCCTGGAAGCAAAATTGAAGGGAGAAACTGATTCAATTACATCCATTCAGTAATGTAAGAACTGAAATAATGTGAAAACAAGAAACACATCATCCTCCCCAGCCTAACACTGCAGATTCCAACACAACAGACGGAGCTCCTGGATCCTGACAGGGTTCCAGAAGGACAGTAACACCCCAGGCCCTCACGACAGCATACCTCGGGTGCGAGCACGAAGGTTTGCATGAACCTGCGCACGGGCTGCATGTTGTTGGAGAGCTCCCCCATCACCTGCACCACAACACCATCGTTGAGGGTGGCGTGGGCGTCCACGTGACGAATCTTTGTGTGGCAGTCCTTGAAGTTTAATGACAGCACCTTCTTGTGGATGTCCTATGAAAGGATGGTACACATGGGTTACACTGCAGAAGCCATTTCTGCTTGCTAACAGTTTTCAAAGAGAGCAAAACCGTAAAACGCTACTTTAGAATATATTCCCTAAGCCTGGAGAGAAAGCTTGGCAACATCCTTTTTAAGTTTGCTTTGCAAGCAATTTTACATTATGAGTTTTCCAATAAAGGAAGCACATCTTGCCTAACTATTGCTGTTTACAGTTAAGACAGTTTATTTTTTTCCAGAAAGCACTTGGACAGAGGGGGGATGAATCACAGCTGGATATATTTCTCTTGCAACCACAAAGGTGACAAAACAGAAAGAAAGAGCAGCCTTTTTCTTTTAAGTACTTACAGATTGCCCATAGACTGCATCAGCTGGTTTTCCATTGGAATCCAAGCCACCATGGACATAGGAAGAGTTCTTTCCATAAAACCTGTTGTAAAGAAATTTTTAAATGCTAAGCTTTGCTATCTATGTAAGAACCTTAAGCCTCTACATTACACTACACTATGAATAATACACTCTCAAGCAAGTTTTCTGTCTGAATCACTGGAACAGAGCCATACAACCCCATAATCCAGCTAGTAATTTGGGGGTGAGGGGAAAATGCAAAGTTCTCCCGTGTAAGCTGAGAGACCCATGTACTAACAGCCAAAACCAAAGTCTCACAGGAGCTAACGATCCAATCCCATCATCCCCTTTCTGTACAAGGTCCACAAAGTAACATAATACCCTCAACACTGGACTGCTGAAAGGTTTCCCCTCAAGTTCTATTTCAGGCTAGAGCAAGGAGCAGCGGTACTGTTTTGCTCATGTACAGTAAAGTACTGCAGGTCAATCTTCCTTTCTGTAACTGAGGGATTATGAGCTAAAATGCCATAAGCACCACAGGGCTGCACTCTGCCAGCAGATAAAAGACTAGAACTGAGTTCCATGGCACACTGTGAACTGTCCTCTGACCCAAATGGAGAAGGTCAGCTGTCCACCTAAGCAGAGGAACACTCTGAATAAGTGTTACTGAAATTGGAAGGAAGAAGGTTTTAGAAATTGTTTGTCTGGCTACTCAAAGCACAGCAAAACAAAGCACATCTTCATAAACGAGGTTAGTTCCAGAATGCAGGATACCTGTCAACTCAAAGGGGATTGATTTGTTTGGATAACAGATTGTAGTTTGCTGTACATTCATCATTTCCTTGACTTTCTGTTAAGAAAGAGCTGCTGGTATGACTCCTGAGAGATACCACTACACAAGCATCCAACATTTTTCCACGTTTCCTCCTAGTCTGGGGGCATTGTATCACAACAAAACTAGAGAAATGTTTAACTAAAATGTTTATCCAACTTCAATTTATATTGATTACAACCAGAAGAAGGAAGCAACACGTTTTTGATTTTACATTTTTTTCTTTTCTGCTTAGAATACATGTCTAGCAGCATTTCAATAACAGCCAGGACTCAAGATACTTAAAGAATTCCTGTAATCTTTATTATTCGCATTTTAATCCAGATTATCAAAACCGAAAGCAAACTACACCCAGAGCCTGGCCCAAATAAACCAGATTTTAAGTGTCCAAGTTCAGCAAGCCAATAAGATCATTAAATTTTAACACACAAACTGAGAAATCCACAGAGCAAAAGTGATCAAAGTGAAGCAGAGCTTTACCTGTGCAAGTAGTCAGGTGCTTGGTTCAGCAGGGTATAGTACTGCCTCACAAATTCCCGCCCGACCAGCAGGGGACTTGGCTTCTCCATCACCATTTCTTTGGTCAACTGAAAACTGTGGAGAAAACAAAAGCACCATAAACTGTGAGCCTTTCAAACCGCTGTTCACATCCTGATCGCGTAAGCCACATAATCACAGCAGAAAGGACGCACCAGGAGAGTTCTACCCTGGTAAGCAGTTTAACCAATGTGCTTTCGGAATCATCAGTGTTTTGGTGCTGGGGAGAGGATTCCTGGGTACCAAACCAGTGGTGAGAGAGGCTGCCTGGGTGAGGGACATCACCTCATAACATGCCAGTAATCATCCCACATATCCTCAGCAAAAAGCAGGTGGCAAGCAAGCATGGTTCTTCAAGAGGATTTGCTAAGTGGCTAAGACATTTACAGTCATCCCAATTCTACTTACCTCACTTGACTTCACAATCAGAATTAAAAGTCAGATGTTCTAAGGCAAAGCCTGTGCTACTGTATTAGGAGCATTTTTAAAAGGTCATGGTAAGTCCAATCTATTTTTATCAGCAGCGCAGCACTGCTTGCTGTGCGTGTCAGGCACTGCAGAGGAATATCGGATTATATTAAAATTACTATGCAACAAATAAATACACGCTGCTCTTCCACTGCTTCCATCAAACGGAGCAAGTTGCTTCTCACTTAAATTCAGAGCACCAGTCAAGTCAACAGCACCACCCATACCTAGGGACAAATCCATCTAGGTACTTTCTACCTAATTTCCATGGATCTGCACGTTACAAAAATAAAGTCTTTGCAGGTAGGTTACACAATATGTGTAATCTTCAGGACAGGTCAGCCCAAACCAAAGCACATTCCCACATGTCCTTATTATCAGATACTCATACAAAATAGGTTCAAACTCATAGGGATAAATAGCAATACAGGTATTTATACCAATACACCAATACCAGGGCATATTCTTGGTACCTAATACAGAAACAAAAGTAGGTTTTCTGCCTCACACCAAGCTGTAATAATCAGTAGCAGAATGGGGGTTTAGACAGTTTTGTTGCTGAAAGAACTTTCTCCCCACTCCTGACCCCCAATCTCTTCCACTACAGGCTCCTTTCCAAACACATGGTATGCAAATTCCACAGGTAAATACTACAGGTGTGTTGTGCAACTCAAACCCAACACCCTACTCAGCAGAGCCCTCTAAAAAGCAATTCAGGATCTTGGATGTTTGATATTTTCATTATATTTAATGAATTTCAGAGAAGTCATCCTTTGGCTGCCAAGAACTGACAACAGACCAGAGCTCCAACAGACAGAGGTGACCTGCCTGGTGGGTGTTACTGTAGCGACAATTTCAAACACACAACATACAGGGTGCTGCAAAGAAGTCACACTGTCAGAACATACAGACAGTATATCCAAGGACGTGATTACACCCCAGCTCCCAGCAATGGTAAGCACACACTGGGAGGTATGCAGTAAGGGTTCAAACCAGAAGATGTAACAGGAAAGCTACTAATATGACAAGAAAGAGAGCTATAATTTCACATACACTGATGTGTTTTGCTCTGTTTTTAATACAACCACACACAGGTACTTTTTTCTCTTTGTAAGTTTAAAAATAATAAAAAAAAAGAAGTCTTCCCATCCTATTTTTAAAATGCACTTTGTTAGGTTTAAACACAGTGAAAAAGATCTGATGGGCTCCAGAGGATGCATACCTGTCCAGTTGGACACGTGTGTCTCACCACCATACAAGAACATATTATTTACATGATAATGTCCAGAAAGAGTAAGACTAAATATGACCTAGAACTGAAAAAGGCTTTTCTAAACACTCAGAAGTTTTCAGCTTTTTGAAGATATTTTCAAGAGCTAACCACGAAAAAGAAAGCGATAGGCCATGGCTGGGTCTGGCCCGCAGGAAATGCTCAGATTCTGCAAACCACTTTCATTTCAGGAAGGCTCCACTATCTGTGGTTATAAAGCAGATTTTGAACTCCAAGTGTAATGTATTACAGATGTCCAACACCCAGCACAGTCTGAAGTGGCAAACACCTCCAAGATATGAACTCAACTGCCTTTCAGTGCATGTTAAATTAGATCTCCATAAAATATTACCAGACAGTAAGAAATAAACAGTAAAGGTAAAGGCTAAGTGGTGGATACCACTGCTCATTTCCTCATCCCACTTTGTTTCCTCTCAAGCACTTGTGAAGCTCTATCAGTACTAGGAGCAGGCCAGTCCTAAAGCAGTGGGAGTGGAAACAACAGACAGAGAAGGCTTGTACATTTTAGAACCAGTCAACTTAACTGGCACTAAAATGCTCAACAGTTAAAAAACCTGCTGTGAGTTTACGGATGGAAAGTCAGTCCTACCATATACCCTCAAGATCACCATTTGGAAAATGACTGGAGGTGTACTTAATTTCTTTGTGAAGACTCATTTCCTGGAATGCAAGCTTATTTCTATAGATGTCAACAGGCAGGTTTTCTACTCAGTTCTGATAAGAAATCAGGCTCTTCTGAGAATTATTTTCAATTGCTTCTAGAATATGAACATATAAAGCTTGACATCCTCACATAATGGCAAACTGTAGCACTCAAATCTCAACAGTTCATTCCTCAACAGCTCTTCCAGATTCCTGTTCTTCAGTCAGAGTCCTCACCTGTATTAACCCACAGGCACATCCTCCTCCACACTGCTCTGGAGAAACACTGAAAGTAAAGTGGCTTGTGTTGATGATTTCTGTCATACATGCTTAACAAGATACATAAAAGAATTTCCCTACTGCTAAGGCTGAAAAATCCATCAGAACTAACTCCTAAGATGCAAACAGGAATAGCAGAGTGCCCAGTTGTCATCAAGCAGATCTGAAAAGAAATGGTAAAAACCTTTACATGACCTAATCAGAGGACAACAATCTCGTTTTACTGCTGCTGCACCTGCTGCTACGCTGCCAGTTGCCATCTGTTCTCATTCTTCAGCCAGCACAACCTGAATGGCAGAAGCCAAGCATCTCCTGAGAGAATATTTGCTCCCTACCATTCAAGAGCAATTTACTACTCCACTATTCCCCAATCCAAGAAAAATTGCAAATACTTTATACTACATTTCTGTTGCACAGCACATAATAGCACCAAATGTTTGAACTGTCACTACCTTACTCCTGATAGAAGCTTATCCACACATTTTCCTGTCAATTGACATAATGATAAAAGGGTGAAAATTGACAGGAAAAGCTGAAAATCAGATTACTTAAGATTCATTCATAATCATGCATTCATATGACTCCATATAACAACAAATCGGATAAGGTGAATTGTAAAAAATACTCTAGGACAATTCTGCAGCATAACCAAACCTCTTCCTTAAACCAAGGACTTAGAGGAAGACAAATACCTCCTTTACAGTGGTTATCACCTGGCTGGTGGAAAATTCCACCATCTGTTACAATGCTCCCACTTGGCAGAAAATCAATGTCAGGCACTGAATTTCTAAAATACCGTTATGTAAATTAGAGCCATTTATGTAAATTCCGCATTAGCAAATTCAGATTTAGGTCTACAAAACCTATTAGTATATTAGTATTCCAAAAAATGGACTCAACAGCTAACAGCTAGCATTGGTCACTATTTTCTTATCAAACTGTAACACAGTGAAAACGAACTAATCACTGCTGTCCCAAATCCCTTTTTTTTTTTTTTTAATTTTTAAATCAGACAAGGAGTTTAGTCTGAATCTGCTTCTACTAGACTTTCTACACAACAGGAGTCTGTCCCATGCACATCGTAGGATGTTCAGGCTCTCAGGACAACTTGTCCCAAGATTCAGGCAAAACCCCCTTGGCCTGACACAACAAGCCAAAGGACCACAAGCCATTGAAATAAAACATGCAAATTAGAAAATCCCAAATTTCACTTCCCAAAGCATGTAGCAATTTTAAACGTCTTCTGTCAAGAAAGCCATCAGAACTAACGAAACAACAAGTTAAAAACTGAATCATAATCTCAGCAGGCTCTGGTGTGTTTTTAACATTATCCTTCTGCCTTTGTTCTCTGCCATCTTCAATTCTGTAGTTTTGACTTGCATTTCAATACAAGAAACAGTCTCAAAAAAGCCAAAGTTACTACAATGCATCATAGTTCTGTCTGACGGGAGTATTACACAGCAGTTCACTCTGTCCTTTGGCTGCTCAGTGATATAAGGTGACATTTGATACTCCGTTCCTTCCTATCTCTATAAATTGGAGGAATTTACAAGTTACCAAAACAATCATGTTGCCCCTCACTCTTTTAATTAGAGGTTTAACCCACTAAGGTATTTTCATAGAGCTGTTGCACTATGTCCAAAAACTTCATCAATTTCTATCATTCTATCAAAATATAATTCAGATTGTTCATTTCTACAACTTTACCTCTGACTATTCAAAAGCAATTCTGACAGTATGATTGATGTATTACACAGATGAAGATATTTCTTTCCCTCTAAACCAAAATGTCATACTTTTCACATAATTCTATACCCTCATTCTGGTATCAGTGAGTTCCTTAACTTAAAAATGTTTTCTGAAAATGAAGGAACACCCAGAGAAGCTCACACAGAAAAGAGACATCTGTATCCAAACACAACACACTACAAGTCAGGCAAAGAGCAATTTTGCTTGAAATTAAAGGTCTGGTCAATAGTTAATAGGATTGCCTAATTAAGTGTCATTTGGGATTTCTCCAAGTTGCTTAGCAACAGGTGAGCAAGTTCAAAGCCACAAACCATTTATCTAGACAGAATAACCAGCACTAGAAGCAGTTACTACTGCTGTTTCGGACCAAAAAAAATTGCCAGTACAAATAAAGTCATGAAGTAAATGCCTAATGTGTCTGTAAGAAGAATGATGTAGATTGAAAGTTCAACAACAAAAGCAAAACAATTTCAGCTAATTCCAACTCTCCATACATTTTACATGGTAGCATCTGCTCTTGCTGCTGACTAAGAAACAAAAGAGAGGCTGGTACCTGTGTGAACCACGATGTAAAACATTACAGTGTGAACAATGAAACACAAACAAGCTAAACTTGCACCCTTAGGCA